GAGGCCAAAACAGAGGTGAAATGTTACCTGGGTTGGGCAAGGGTGTGGAGGTCACTGAATAAAGGAGCCATTTGTCCTCCGCCAGGCCAAGTAGCTGGAAGGCTGGAAGTATCTATGGCTCTTGTGCTGGTTGAGCCTCCATGGCTGGGCACAGAGGACAAACCTGCATAGTAGTATTTTGACTTCTAGAGGCCAGTCTGCCAGCAGGCAGCCATGGCTTGTTGAGGCAGCTGCGGGACCACTTCCCCTTTGGCTGCATTTGAAGCAGTCACCTGGTAGAATTGACTTTTGGCTATCCCGGCAGGATAGAGCATTGCGTCCTCTTGTTTTCTGTGCGGGAGTGCCGACAGCCTCAGAGCGGCAGCCAAGGTCTGCAGCATGTAGATGAACCTGTCAGGAAGGTTCTTCTCTTATTATTTTTACCAACTCCTGTATGGTGACTCAAGTACCATCCTTAGCTGTTTATTAAAGATGGCAGTGAGACCATGTTTGCCTCTGTAGGACTATAAAAATATTTTTGGACATGTTAGAAAAATTGATTATCTATGAGATGACTATTAATTTATATTTGTTAACCATTAAATATTAGGACTTTAGGTCTTGTCCCTGTTAAGTTGGAGCCTTAAAAGTCATAAATATAGTCCATTAAAGTGAGAGCATAACAGTTTTTTGTATGATTAGTATATAAAAAGTTGCTATAGATTAATAATAAAACCATTTTTAGAAAACAAGACCAAGCATATTTTAACCTTTTGATAGTGAAGATATAACACAAGGACCAAGTTTTAACATAAATACCTCTAAAAGTAATAGATCTTAATTTAGAATATTGGTAAATATTGTACCCCTGAGTTATGAGTTTTAAAACCAACAGTATAGTAAATTACATTTGAATTTATTATATCAAACCTATTAGCCAGAAAGCCTAGTGGTGAATCTCAATCATAGGCAGCTCATGGCAGGGAAACAGCATTTATTAATTTAGGAACTGATAAAGACATAGGCAGTTAGACATACATTTTAAATTAACTTAATTTGAATAGACATTTATAATTTTGAAATTTTATTACCATACCAATTTAAAATGAGGCTTGTTGCTTTCCTAGTCTAAAAGGAGATAAAATAAACAGAGAAGTAATTATGATTAAGGAAGTCTTATAAATGAAACCCAATGAGAAAATTATATAAATCATTAGATAAAAATTTAAAGCATTTATATATATTATATTAATATATTATATTTATATATATATTAATATATATATATTAAGAGGAGAGTGTACAGAAATCAGGAAGAAAAGATTTTAAAAGCTTGGAAGTAGCACCTTAGAGGTCAGTGTTTGAATGTGTGCAGCTTGGAGTTTTGCAGGAATGGGGGAGGGGTGAGCACATGGCATGACTTCTCTATTTAAAAATCAACATGGTGGCTCTCCATGTGCTGTGCACAGCTGTGGGGCACAAGGAGACCAGGTGCTTGCCTGTGGTTAGAGCTGTCCTGGCCCGGTTTAAAACTCTCTGCGTGCATGTGGCATAAGTTGGTGCAACTGAAAACCCTTATTTGCAAGCCACCTCTAGCGGCAGGCCTTTCGTGGGAAATTTAAAATCGCACCCATGGGACCTGAGGCAGTGGTGCAATTTAAAGCCATCTGTGTGTGCACAGGGTCCCCAATAATTGCTTATCTAGAAGCAGGCTGTGTTTGTCTGAAGTGGAGCATTCTAGTTTCCCCAAGCTGATTTTGGTGCATTGTATGCCCTGTACCTGGGGCTCAGAGCACCTGAGCAGCTACAAGCAGCAGGACAGATGTGCACAGTAAGGGCAGTGCAGTTGAGAAAAAGTAAAGATTTTTAGGCATAGGTGGTTAGGGATAGATAGAGCAGAAAAAAATCTTGTGTAGCCATCTATAGAAGAGGTCCAATATAAGGGGGTCCTGGCATGACCAGACCAGGTTCTACCAAGAGAGCTCCTTCCTGACCCAAAGCACCAAATGTTAAGACCAATGACTATGCACACAGCAGATTTTATATGAAAGAGGTTTATTAGATGGAGATGAAGAGAGAGGGAGAAGGAGAGAATAAGACGTGATAGGGGGAAAAGAGGGGGGTGCTGAGACAGAGAAAGGGGAGAGGCCAGGAGAGGCAAGAGAGAGACAACATGGTGGGTTGATCCTTTTATGGAGCAACGTAACCACGCCTCCAGGTGTGGTTACCTGGCTGGCAACACATATGACATCATAGGTTCCTAGGCAACCCAGAAGTAGGCTGCCAAAATACTAACAGGTATATTTCTCAGGGATCCCTCTGGGGATGTGGGGATCTCACCCTCACACACACCCACACTTTGATGATCCTTTCCATGCCAGCAACTCCAAAGGCAAGGTCTCTTTATGATGCACCTTCTGACAGTGTGCCAGCATTGTCCCTTCACAGAGTTCCCAAGACTCTCCAGAGACTTTGAAAGTCATTTTGAGACATTTCAAATCCCAGCTGTGTTAGCCTCTCACTCTATGTAGTTACATAGAGTGGGTTCCTCCTGTCTCTCGCCTTCTGTAAAGAGGGAATGATAATGCTGGGTGTGAGGACTGATGATGAGATCTGTAAAGGCAGAGACCCCTGCTGAGTCGTAAATCAATCAGCAGCTGTCTGGCAAACATGAGGGGGTGCCACAGAGGAAGAGAAATCATGTTACACTTCCCACCCTGCTGGCAAGTCAGAAGCTTGTGTGTGTCAGAAGCTTGAGGCTCTCCTCCTTGGCCTCCCCTCAGGGACAGCAGACAGTCCTGCCTTACAGCAGGAAGGAACTTGTAGACCTGTCAGGATGTGCTAGAAGTTGATTTATTAAGAATAGGTTTACTATAGGTGCAGGCGCACAAATTAAGACAGTGGAGAGGGGAGAGGAGCTTAAGAAAGGGAAGGTGTCCACGCCCAGATGTGGACCCTGGTCCCTGAAGACACAGAGCTCCTTAGAGAGCCTCAGAGGCCCTGGTATTACATTGTTTAGAGGTTAAGGGGAAATGTTTTAGGATACTTTTTATCTTAAGAACTTTTCTTTGGTACAGGAAAGTATCAGGTACTATATGAAGTTCATTGAACAGGTTTTACAGGCTGAGAAGAGAAAGAAGTCACAGGGTCCAAGGAATCCTTATACACAGGCCACAATCAGACATGTCTTGAGTATAAACATGGCTCAGAACCTTGTTCGTGTGATGTATTTATGTATTTAATTTGTTGATTCTCAGCATGCTTCTTTCCCTTCCCACATCACCTTGTCTTTCTGTCTGCTCCAGCTTGGGCTTACACCCTGCTGGCTTCAGGTGAGGGCTTGAATAGCAGGTATCAGTGAAAACTGGAGCTTTGCTTTGTGTGCTGGATCCAGTCTTGTAATTTATTCAATTACACAAAACCTTTTCTATTGTTATGATAACTGAGTCTCTTTTTTATTAGTGATTCAAATTGGATTTTTTTTTTTTTGAACCTTGAATTTGACTCAGAAGGCTGAGGCAGGAGAGATGTCATGAGTACTAGGCCAGCCTCGTATGAGAATCTGTCTAAAAAAAAGGGGGGGGGGCAGAAAGCAGTGTATTTACTAGTATTACTGTGTTGACTTTAGGGTAATTGCCATGAACAGGTGATCAGTCACCTGTTTTCATGAGGTAACCGTGGTTCTCTCTGCTGTCTCAGACCTTTTCGTTTATGAAAGAGGATGGAAAACGCGGCCGGGAAAGGTGGAATTAGAAGACATTAAAAAGCTGGGTTTGGTAGTGCATGACTGTGATCCCAGAATCCTGGAAGGCAGAGACTGGAGGACCTCTGTGAGTTGGAGGCCAGCTTGGTCTACAGAGGGAATAGGACAGCCAGGGCTACACAGAGAAGCCCTGTCTCCAGGGAAAAAACAAAAACATGTTCTCAGGGAATGCCTGAGAGCGTGAGCATTTGTAGGTTCTGTTTGCCTCATGGAGGTCTTCTTGCCTCCACTTCACCACCAGCTCTAGGACCTGGGTTCAATTCCCAGCACCCACATGGCATCTTAAAACTGTCTGTAACTCTAGTTCTAATGGATCTGACACTGTCTGTTACACACACATACAAACAGGCAGAATACCAATGTACATAGACTAAAAATAAATAAGCCAATAAAACCTTTTTAAAAAAAATCACTTTGGTATAGTTAGATACTCTGCCTTAAATACTGGTAAGACACCCACAATCGAAATGAATATTTTAATATTTAAAACTAGAATCATTATTAATGCCTGAAACTTGTAGTTGAATTCAAAGCAATTTTTAGTTTGAATGTGGTATCTGAATAGAAAATTCAAGGTTTTGTTTTTGTTTTTTGAGTCAGGGTGTCTCTGTGTAGTCCATGCTGGCCTGAAACTTGTCATATCCTCCAGGGGCTCCAGTTATGAATGGAAAGTTTACTATCTTTAAAGCCTCATTAAGCTTAAATACTTTCTATGATTTTGCTGAATTTATTTTGAAATCAATTGAAAATCTCTTTGACTTTATTTTTTGTTTTGTTTTGTTTTGTTTTCGAGACAGGGTTTCTCCATGTTGTCTTAGCTGTCTTGGATTCTTTGTAGACCAGGCTGGCCTCCAGCTCACAGAGATCCACCTGCCTCGAGTGGACTTGATCTTTCAAATAACCGTTTTTCCCCAGTTCATAAGAAAGATGGTCCCCCGGCCTTGGGCATAGCCGTTATCGTGTGGACCAAGGTCTAGGGACTTAGTTTATTTCTGACAGCGAATGAATGCAAGCTCTACCTACTTCTCCTCTGGTGAAGGAGAGGGCTTTGAAAAACCAGCCTGCTCTTCAGCAGTTAAGGCGTTAATCTGGGTGGGATCAGTACGGTTGGTCTCTGGACCTTATGCTCAGGGATAGGGCCGAGGTGGGCAGCAGCAGTGAGCTGGGACTCCGCCCCCGGGGTGGTGCCAACTTCACCGGGCGGGCTGGATAGAAGGCTAGGATGCTCTCATCTCCCGCGCGCCCTTCCCTACAGCAGCTGTGAGCGCCATGGGCAACATCCCGAAGAAGCTGATGAGCCGGAGCCAGGGTGGCAGGCGGTCGCGGCGGGGCCGCACACCAGGGCCCCGCGGCGAGCAGCTGCGGGAGACAGCCACTAGCGGCTACATCGACACCCAGCCCCCGGAGGAGCCCCAAGCCTCAGCCAGTGCCGGGAGCCTCAAGAGCCGCGGCAACGAGCTGTTTCGTGGCGGGCAGTTCGCGGAGGCGGCTGCCCAGTACTCTGCCGTGATAGCACAGCTGGAACCTGAAGGTAGGGGAGCTGTCATGCTGCAGCGACCTCCGGTCCCTGACAGAAGCTGGTCCCCCGCGGTGACAGGCACTGACCCCCGCATTGACTAAGGGCATGAGCAATGCCTTGGTATGCGGAGCCTGTCCTGGTCAGGCAGGTTTTCATGGATCTCTGCCCTACCTTCCCTGAGTGGCCGGTGCGGGACAGTTCCTCGGAGCTCTGCACCTGAGCGGGCAGAAGGACTGACAGCAGTCAGTTGTTGAGACCGCAGTCCTGTGATTTTGCTAATGGGTTTTAAACAGTGTTTAATTAAATGTGGTTTTAGGAAGTGCAAGTTCGGATGAGCTAAGCATCTTGTATTCAAATAGAGCGGCATGCTACCTCAAAGAAGGGAACTGCAGGGGCTGCGTCCAGGATTGTAACAGGTAAGGGCTCTCTAAGTTTGCCAAGAGAGGGTTGTTATGGCAGTATGAAGAAGGCAATGTTTAATATTCCAAGTTTTCTATGTAAGAGCATAGTTTCCTGAGACTGGTATAAGGTGCTGTGACTAGAATGAAAAAAATCCCTAAACACACACACACACACACACACACACACACACACACACACACACACA